ATATATTATAATAATAGTCTCTAAGTCTTATAATAGTCTCTCGAGAAATGCACTGTTTTTGCATTCATTAATAATTACATTGACATATACTTCCTCCTAACCATATTGCCCATTATTTACCCTTCCCCAACGATTAGCGGATATAATAGCATTATTGATCGCTGATCAAACTATTAAATTCCACTAATAATTGCGAGAACGAAAATGTTGCGAAGGTTAGTGACACATTCCACAATCCAAACATGGAGTCGGGCTCACGATTATATCTATTTAAAAAATTCAGCACATGATGTGCTGAATATGCGAAGCATATGTGTGTACGTCGTATTACGACTTCCAATATATAAATACATATTGAAAATGTATTCAATGTAAGCGTCATCGTCGCCGAATCGTTTGTCCAACCGGGAAACCGGAACGCAATGCGCAATATTTACATATTTCAAATATGTTTTTTTTTTTATTTCTTCTTGGAGTAAATCGTTAAAATTCAAAGCAGTCTGACTTTTATTTAGAAGTTGTTTAATCTTTAATGTTTGTTCAGATACTAGTTTTTGGCAGTTCAGCGACTGTCCTTGGGTTAACGCCGCCCTCTCAATATCGGCATCAATATTCCACTTACTCAACTGAACCTCCTTGAGGCAATGCAAAAAAGAGCAGTATATATACATAAATAGGTATACATATACATATATAGTGATAATCATAATGAGTACCGGTTTCAAACACAAGTATGTTATGTAGATTGCTAACCCGATTCACTTTAGAATCGGTTATCAGGTTGTGCCGTATAGATTATCGTTAACGGACACGATTTGTCTATTATTAATCCAGTGCATTGACTGCTCCGACATGGCTGCACATAAGTAATACGAGACTAGAGTTCCTCAATCCCAATACAAATTATATATGTATGTCAATCACGTGGCGTGCTCTGAATATTAGACTTTGGTGTAACTATTGTGTCGAAACATGTACAGCTATAAATAATTTTTATAAACTATTAAGTAACTTAGTTACTTGTGTTATGCCTGAACTGAAATTCTCAGACTAATACTTGGTAGAGTCTGTTTAGCTAAATCAGTTTTAAGTGCATTTTTCCCAGTTCTATTACAGTTCCAGCTGATCTTGAACTTTTAAGTGTTTCTTTTTTTTCCTTTTTTTATGAATTAAATCATATAATCGTGAACTGATACCCGTATTACAGAAAATGTTTACTTTATAAATTAATTATATATATAAGATATATTTATGAGTCATTAGGAAACCCCCTGTTACCACACAAAGGCGCCGCCACTGCCAACAATTTCCAATTGCTTTGTTAGCAAATCCTTCATGCTCTGCTCAGTGATGAGCTCTCTAGTTTTTTCCAGATTATCCTTTGAGTTGGTCATTTTTGCACTTATCTTTATCACAGATTCTTTATAAATTTATATTAATATAAWTGTTATTATATATATGATTATATGTCACACTCGAAGACGCAAACAAAAATTTGATAAGAGTTCAAATTGAGAATTAATCCAAAAATAGACAATAATAGGTCGTTCCACTTGGTTGAAGAACTTTAAGCTAAACACATTTTCACACTGATCTCGGCTCTGAAACCAGATTCGCGTATGACAGTCTATATATGTATTATCTATGCCAATCAATTGCTCACAAAAGTCACGGATTTAATTTTGCGTATATATTCTATATATGTACATTTATATATATGTATATGCGTATGAATCTATAGAATTTGTTGCGTCCAATTGTCGGGTGATTACGAGTGCATTAACACGGCGTATAGCCTCTGACATGGGTCTTGGGAGCTATTATCCGTCTCTTGGTTTCTCCGTAGTTCTCCAGTAGCACTGATAATACCTCAAATATAGACACGATTGACCGAAATGCAATGGCAATTGCGATAGGCAAATGCAGAGCTGATTTCTGTTTTCTCTCTCCCTCTTTCTCTTTCTCTTTTTTTGTTTTTGTTTTCACTTTCACTTTTAGAATTTTCTTTACGGTTGATCTTTCTAATGTTCTATTCTCTAGTTTTGCTCTAGGCACATGTTGTTGTTGTTTTCTTTAGTCAACTACACGTTGTTGTTTTTACAATTCACTTGTCAAAAATGTTTCTTATATGTTAAAATAAACATAAAATTGAATTCAATTCAATTTGTGTGTGTGTTGCTGTTTTTTCATTCTTTCATTCTTTCTTCTACTTTTCTTTTTTTATAATAAGCAGCTGCGCGGCAAACGTTTCTAATTTTGAATGAACTTTCGAGCGCGTGTAGCGTGCGCCTTATGCGATGCAGTCGCTTGCAATGCTACCAACTACTTGCCGCTTCGGAGGCGTCTCACAAACTAAGCCCAAGGGAGGTCGATCGCAGCGTTTTGTACTAGCCGCCCGCTCGCCAGACTAAACAGACTCGCCATATGCATACATACATGCATACTACACTCACCCATAAGCAGAGTATACGCACTCTCATTACACTGAGACGCGAACACGCGTTGCTCTGGATTCGGCTCTGCTTCGATAGCATTCGGCTACAGCTCTTCCCGTTTCATTTTCCATTTACTTTTGCCTGGAATTTACGTAGTGTGCGTGAGTGCGTCTATGTGTGTGTGTATATGAGTGTACTTGTGGTGCATTCCATTTTTGAAATCATTGCGCGTTTGTTAAAGAGATTATTTTCTAGTGACAATGGCACACTACAGAGGGCGGGAAGTAGCATATTAGGCTAATGTATTCTGGTCATAGAAAAGAAATTTGATTAATAATCGTTCTATTGTGTGTTATTTTCGTTATTTGGATAAACGTTAAAAAAATTCCTTTTAATTTATATAGCCACAACTAGAGGCTTAAATTCAACTTATCCACCTAATATATATAGTATGAATGAAATATATTTATTTTTATCTTCATTATTGAAACAGTTCTCTTTCAGTGTAGGCATCATGATCAGTGTTGCCAGATTAGCTATTTAATAGCATTTTTAGCTATTTTTGAACCCTAARWGCTATGAAAWTTTTGAAAATGCTATTAGCTATAAATTTAGCTATTTTACAAACGAATATTTTGAACTTGATTTTAGTATTTAAAGCACAAAAAAAAAAAAACATTTTTCGATTAAGTCCCAAATTGTACGTAATGATCTGCGCGATACTACCACCACGACTTTATCGTACTTATACTATCAGTTGTGAATTTACTCCATCGCNCTTCTTGGCATTAATTGTATGTGATGAATAAAAAATATAATCAGAAATTTCGTGATTCCTGGAAAACAATCACCGAATTTAAGAATTGGATTAAGGAGGATGAGTCGGACAACAGGCGGGCGTATTGTATATACTGCAAATGCAGTGTTTTTGCCAAATTGCACGATATTAAAATGCATGCCGCGACAAAAAAGCATAACACATTTTCCATGATTACATTTAAACATGATTCCAGTTAATCAAAAATATAATTCTGATGATGATTTGGATGTGGACCAAATTGTAACATTATTAAATAACATTTAAAAATAAAATTTTAAGTAAATGCATAATGCATAAAGGTTTCAGCTATTTTGTAAGCTATTTTAAAATTTGTTTAGCTATTTTCAGCTATTTTTTAAAGACGATTTTGCTATTTTTATGTCTCAAAACCTGGCAACACTGATCATGATTGCAGCTCAAATGAAGCGAAACTCTCATCCCCTAATTTTACAGCTGTGACAGGCAATCAATCTCTCTGCCTAGCCGAACCCAAAAACATTTTTTTTATTTTCGCACAGGATCTTCACTCTAAACGAAGACAATTGCCGTTACAAAATAATGCACGAGCGCTCTTTACAACAATTAAATATGTACGCTGTATAATAAGTATATATATATATATCGTATATATGTATTAATTTACATTTTGTCTGCATTACATTACAAACATTAGCATTCGCATGGTCGCCAGCTCTGTGATGTTTGTTGTTGTCTCCTAATTCCGTTATTTGGAATTACGTAATTAAGAGCAACGCTCTTAATTTTCTTGATAGTGCAAAGAGCAAAGAACCCATTGTCAAAAAGAAATCAAATAACCATTTTTACATTGTGAATGAATAATATGTAAATGATATGTTGAACCTCTCTCTAATGCGGAAGGCACAGAATTTACATAAGCTATTGATAGTACAGGGTCTTGATTGTTCTCACTGCAATGTTGTATTTCTGATGATTTCTTGTGAGAATATTTTTCCACTTGAGTAACTCTTGAACTTGCAATATTAATGTCCATAAAGATATGTTTTTTTTTTTCTCTTATTCTTTGTATTCATCTTTAATTGATTTGATGAGAATGACAAACGCAATGATTACGATCTTTATAAGAGTTATCAAACTGGAACCAGATTTCTATGCATTGAACCCACTGAGTGAGGTTAACTGTATTAGCGTTTAGATAACATACATTTCAATTCAAGAGCTCTCAAGTCTGGCCAAGCTCAATTAATCCAGACAAATGATTTTGACTACGTCAATCGACCGCTCGATACCGATATCAATGGATGTACGTAAGCAACAGCCATGGGGCTAAGCTCTGACTGCTTGCAGGGTATGCAACAGTCAACGTTTTACATAAGCTTTTATTTTTGTGAACATTTTTAGTGTATCACCTGAATGTACCTCTTAAATTATTGTTCAGCTTTTCTCATGCATATAATTATATATGAGAATCGCATGGAAAGGAGCATGTCTAATATGTATACATATTAATAATTGAGAACAGCCAAATGATGGATGCATGAATGACGATCAACTGCGAGGCAAGTATAAAAATAGAGAATACTTTCAATTTATTTCGAATTAAATAAATAAATGCACAGGGGCGTATACCGTTGACATTTTAATTGGGTTTACCTGGGCGGGTCTCCAGTTTGATCGTTGTTATTGTTGTTGTTCCTTTAGTCTTTGTTTGGGGGCAGCGCACGTGCAGCTTTTATTGGATATCGGTTACAAGATTCAAGTGCATAAATGCCGTTAAGCTCGTCATTTATGCAGGCCACGTAACCAGACACGCCCACACTTTCACGCGTAGCACTCATTCATCAATAATATTCTTATATGTATGTCATATATGCTTGGCACTAATCTAACGAAATTGACCTAATTCAATTTATCTTGAGTGACCGAAAAATAAAACTTGATTCCACTAAACAACTCGAGAACTTATCATAATGTCTACAAATACTACCTTGGATACTAGTGCAGGCAGTCAAACTAGAATATTGACTTTGTACAGTGAATACGATCAAGTACTTGAATGTTGAATACCCTGAGAGGTGATGATTATATTTGATGTATCCCCCATAATTTTTCCACAATTTTACAGATATGATCTTTGAACCTTGCAGATGGACAATTCTTTAATATCTCCAAAATCCTACATCATTTTGTAAATAAATTTGGCTTTGAACGGTTATTATTAGTAATATTCAATTAATCTTAATGCCACCGATTCCATTTTACATATAATTTTGTTATACAGGATATTTGTTCAAATGAGCGGGATTATCTAGATAAACAATTTTGATTGCATCCGATTTTATATGATTATTGAACATGCTTAAAACTCTCGATGCGACAGGTATACATATAAATAATGTCTGTCTCATCTCTAAGAAACCGAAATATAATACTTGGTGCATGATTGAAATTGATGGGATCCAATTTGTTGGCGCTTTTTACTGGAGACGCGACTCTTTAAGTGAATGATTACCCACGAGACGAGCTGGGAATTATGCAAAAATATTTATACTAATCTGTCCAGCAGTGGACGCTAGCGAGTAAATGAAATAATCTACGATATAGTGACCGAGTGCCCGACTATATACCCTGATACTATGTCGCAATGTCAACAGAATTTTGGACGTCTACAATATAAGGAATTTTATAGATATGGATAGGCTTTGCTTAGACGGATTGGTTATAGCTATAGCTGAGGACACAGATCAGACCAACCACAAAGACGCTATAGTAGGCAATGTTGTACAGATTGAGGCGACTGAGCAACCCCGCAATGTAGCTCGTGCTGACACCGGCATAGCGATTCCTCTCGTGAACATCGCTCAAGTCCTGCCATCCAACCACTTGGGGCCGTATCACGAATAAGGCATTTATTGCCGCCCTCAAACCACTCTCCACTGCACCACCCATCAGGTTGCGATTGCTGTTGGCCGCCGACGCTGAGCTGGACCAGATGACTCGATTCCAGGGCTTGACCTGTGGCCTATGCAGCGTGGAGCTTAGCTCGCAAGTCAACTGTTTGTAGTTCATGGGGTCGAGCATTTCCTCGCCAAACTGCTCTGCCAGCACATCCAGCACAGTATCTCGCACGGTGCCGGCCTGCTCCTCCGTGTGCAGCATGTAGCCGGAGTACTGCGACGAATTGCTCTCGTAGCCCACCACAAATGGATCGACGTTCAAGAAGAGACCCGAGTATCCTCGGGTTATCCAATACGAATGATCGTAGCGCAAAAAGAATTGAGTTATCTGACCCGTTTGCCGCTTAGCTTTGCCCCGCCCGATTGTGCGGTAGTGTCTGGGTAGCTGTGGCTCGAATTCCAAGGACTCCACCTTGTTCCAAGGTATGGCCAGGATGACGGCCTGGGCTATGTGCCTTTGGCCAGTTGAGTCGGTGACCAGCACATAATTCTTGAAGTGTTGCACCTTAATGGCCTTCGCATCGTACTGGATCTCATTGTGCCTCAACTTTTCGAGCAACGCTCGCAGCAGAGACCTACAGGACAAGCTCAACAGGGATTTCGGCATGGTGAGATAGCTGCGATTGCAATTGAAAAATGTTAAAGAGCAAATGGATCTAGGACTACCTACAGATCAACTAGCACACTCAGTCCACCCGACGTGCTACACAGACACATAAACTCGTCGTACTTAATGTCCTTGGCCGACACTCCGGAGGCCAACGTAACCAGATTGTACATAAACTTCCGGGACAGACTGAAGAACAGATTCTGACATATATGACGCTCCATCGTTGGGATTCGGGTGCGATACCTAAAGACAATGCGTAGATCAGTTGAATGGCTCATCTAAAAGGCTTTCAACCAACTTATAACGAGAGTCGAACTTATTCATGCGCAGATCGAGCATATGGATATAACGCCAAAGCTCAAATTTAGCTAGAGTCGATGTTAGACCACGGTCCAGTTCCCAACAGCGATTCAACGATTCATTTCGGTCGGACTCCTTACGCTCATTGACTGCCACGTTCAGTTGTGTCAAGAAGGCTATTAGCTCCGACTGGTCCTGTTGCACAAAGCGATTTCCCTCGGAGCTAAGCTGGCCGCCGGGCATCGAGCCCTCTTCAATAATTTTCACATTTAGCGTATCGACTTTGTTTAGTATTTTGACTGCGGAGGTTAGCCCGGACAGACCAGCGCCCACTATAAGTACGTCAAGTTCTGGTAGTTCATTGCCAAAAGGTAAGTCCATTGGGAAACTGAAATCGTTTTGACATCTTTAATTTTGGAATCTGAAAGCAAAAACAAATTGACTCAAGCACAGCTCGAAAAAATTAGTTCAATAAATGTTGCATACTCTCAGGATCCCACATAAAAGCAAATCGCTGGGAACTCGGCTAGAAAGTGAATTGTAAGTCCTCCTGGGTATATCAGAAGGTTAGGCTCTATATAATGCAATCTAACTGTGTTGTTAAGGTACTATAATTGCATTGTACAGATTCAACGCTTTCAATAAATATAACAAAAAAAAAAAAAACAGCCAAGTGAAACTCTTGAGTTATACATCTACATCTAAACTGCATTTGCAGTGTAAAAAATGAATCCGAGACGGAGCGAAACACGGTGCAAATCTTGTTGCGCACTTTCAGGCCAAAGCGTAAAATACTTGTTTGAAACTTTGCTACGTCATGGAAGTCCAAACTAATTAGACATACACTTTGAGTATATTAACTTTACTTAAAGTTTATAGCAGAGAAGTGCAGCAACACACTCTCAGGCCGCTTTTATCGTTGAGGTAAAACTATTTTAAGTCACAGATGTCGCAAACATTATTTAATTACTTCAAAACGTTGTTATAATAATGTTTATTAAAGCCATACGAGGTATTCCAGTAATCCCTTTGTGAGCTTATCGTCTTCACAAACTACATTTCATGAATTTACATTTTTAACGTTTAGCTTAACTTATAATATCTTAGATTATGTACTACCATTATCATCAGATGTCTGTGTATGCTATATGTCTACAAAGATAAGCCCTCTTCAATCAGAATTTATAATATAACAATTATCAACTCATATGAATTCATTTTGCAAGTCTCACAATGCAGTCATTAGTCCGTTCAGTTCTGTTTAAACTTAATCATATCAATTTTGACACTACCCATTGAAATTGACACTCATAACAATTTTGACCCTGAGCATAAGTTGTCATCATATCATTTGCGCCACATTTATTCTGGCTAGCTAAATGCACACAGTGTGAATACAGATCAAATGAGCTGCGCCTAATGAAATCAGCCTTCAGACCAGATCAATATTTACTGTTAGCTTAATAATTAAGTATATCTTTTTTATGATTTTTGAACCATGCAAATGACAAAAATAATACAGAATAATAATAGCTGACTGCTGTTGATAAAACCTTTTGAAAATACTGAATCGCTAAACATTTTTGTTATATTAACAGTTTGACTGATAATGTATAACTGTTACAGTTGCTATGGGAACACAATTTGTGATAACAAACAAAAATGCTGCCGTATCCAAAAATAAAAATAAGAGAAGTTTACGTTTCAGCTGATAAAATAAAAGAATATTTTATAACAATTAATAATATATTTACGCTTGATTAAATGATAACAGCTGCTTGTCTGTACAATGAACTCTAGCTAAAGTAGAGCGGCAACACTATGCGCGCTCTCTCTTTCACTCTCGCTTTCGTATCGTTAGCAATGGCGAATCCGTCTCTATGAAGAGACCCACTTCTGTAGCTAATCTAAGTCTATAAAAARTTTATAAGAAATGAATTATTATGAAATATATTATTTAAAAAGAAGAAGAAGAGACACCCTCAATAATGATAATTGTCTTTGTTTCGCTTTGCTTCTCTTTTAATGGAACAATAAATGTATATAATTTGAGTTTCTACAAACGATTTGGTGTACAGTTCGATACACGAATGAGTTGAAATACTTTTTTATCGAATAAATAAATGCAAATTGCTTCAATTCGCTTAAATGTCCACTCCGCTCCGCCTCGGCATCCTTCACCCCTCCTTCGTACTCTTGCCATTGAGCATGCTGTGCAATTCCTCGGCGTGGGGCTCCTCCGTCTGCTTGGACTTCTTGCCAAAGTTTTCGCCATCCGCAATTGTCTCCGGCATCGGCTTGTTCAGCGTCTCCGGCAGCAGCAGCGACAGCAGCCCAGCGGTCAGCGAGAGCGCACCACAGATGACCAGCGGCAGGGGTCGCCAGATCTCGCCCAGCAGATTCAAATACGGAGCCAAAATGCCACCGACGCGCGCCACCATCGAGGAGGCGCCCAGGCCCACATTGCGCACCACTGTGGGAAACTGCTCGGCCGTAAAGATGTACACGGTGCCATAGGACGAGGTAATGGCCAGCTTGCCGATCATGGCGCAGGCAATCAGCAGCCAGTTCATGTCGCTGGGCACGACGATGGTCAGCAGCAGGCTGGCTCCGGCCACGAGCATGGTGCCGCACAGGATGGTGCGACGACCCCAGCGATTGAGCGTAAAGAGCAGCAACAGGTAGCCGGGTATCTCCACGGCGCCGGAGATGACAAAGTTCAGCAGCTGATTGCCGCCCAGATTGTTCGTGTTCCACGAGAGGCCGTAGTAGACGCCGCTGTTCACGAACCAGTCGAAGAAGATGAGCAGCGTCTTGCGCCGCAAGTTGGGATAGCGCAGCAGGTCGAACACGGAGGCTGCTGGCTGGGCGGCGGCCAAGGCATTCTTACGATTAATCTCTTCGGCCTCATCGACTAGCTGGGCGTAGATCTCGCTGGGTATTTCCACACCATTCACCCGGGCCGCCTTCTCGATGATCACGAAGGCCTCGTCCTTGCGCCCCTTGGACAGCAGCCAGCGCGCCGACTCCGGCACAATCCAGTAGTAGCACATGAAGAGCAGGCCGGGCAGCGTGATGGCGATCTGCAGCCAGCGCCAGTCGTGGATGAAGTAGGCAAAGCCCGCGGTCAGCATGAAGCCCACGGAGAAGAACATTTGCACTGTGACCCCTGCGAAGAGGCGATACGTGGCGCCCACCATCTCCATGGCAATGACGTAAGCCACCAGAAACACGCCCGATGTGGTGGCGCCCACAATGAGCCGGGAAATAGTATAGCTGAAATATTCCGGCGCCACGCCAGCCACCACGCCGAAGACCAGCTGCGTCACCAGGGCGGCAAAGAAGGTGGGCTTGCGTCCCAGCTTGTCGCTCAGCTGGCCAAAGAAGAAGCTGCCCAGCAACACGCCCACCATGAACAGCGAGTCGCTGGTGGCGCTCAACAGGCTGCGGCTGCACACCATATTCCACTCGGTGACGGCGCTATTGAGATACTTGGACTGATCGTAGACATAGCTGCTGCACACCACTGCACTCGCATTGCTGGCCGCCGTCCGATTGCCCTCGAGATACTCTGGGCTGTACTCGAGATCGTAGTAGACGCAGGTGTTGGGCTTGCCGATGACGCTGTCGTTGGGATAGACGCGCGGCCACTGCCAGCGGGGCAGCGACTCGAAGCGGGCGGTGGCCGCATCCTCGTGCGGCAGCAGGCAACGGAACTCAGGCCGGGCGAGCAGAAACACTCCAGCCAGCTTGTGGAAGGCGCAGACTATGGCCGGCAGACAGAGCAGCAGGTAGATGCGTTTCTGATACCGCCCAAACTCGCCCAAGTGGGTGATAACGTCGTCGTAGCCCATGGCAGCCGATAGCAGTCAGTCATGCACTGATATATATATATATATATATGTATATGTATGTACCGTCTAATCGTTGTTGCTTTATTGGCAATCACAGCGATCGTCACAGTCGTACGATTTGCAGAGCTTCGAGCGCGCTGTCCAATGGCTGGCGCACAACTCGTTTTGGTTGTTTGGGCCGTTGCGTATACGCCGCGTACTGCCGATAAACTGGCGCGTTATTGGGCAATAAAATGCATACGAATTGAGCCGCTGCGCAGTCCGAAATTGGAATTACGTTCTATGTATATAAAGATTTTCTGCTGGGCCTTGTCAAAGTTGAAGCGCGCAATACGAACCGTTCGTGATCTGCGCCAGAACGCGACTAAGAGCGATATGCAGCAGCTGTTCCGAGCATTTACAAATATCAGAAAGCAAAAACAAAAGCAACAACAGCAACAACAATGCTGACAACGAGGCTATCTACAAACTCCGAGCAGCGCAACGCCGCTCTGCTGCTCAGCATTTGCCAAATCGCAGTTACACGTGTGTCCAGGTAGCCAAATCAGTTGCTCTCCAATGAGTCGAACTCGGGGAACTGCCAGGGGATGCAGACGACGATCGACGATCGATGCTCGATGCTCGATGCTCGTCTAGTTTCTAGGTCAAAAGCGGGGTTGCATAGCGCCTCGAGCATCGCTCGCTAATTGCAATGCAGTTGGCAGCATTCCAGACCCAATGCACACCTGCCTCACGTGCGCTCTCTTGTTCTCTGCCTCTCTCTCTCTCTCTCTCTCTCTCGTTTACTCTCTTGACTCTCTGGCATGCATTCAGCCTCTCTCACACTGTTATCAGTGAATGCTCTCGCTCTATCTGTCTTTCTCTCTTTTGCCCTCTCTCTCTCTCTCTCTCGCTCTCGCTCACAAGTTTTGCCACTTTGTTGAGCATCGAAACATTCTGAGCAATAAATATGATAATATTCAGCGTAAACTTGACCGAGCCGAGTGGCAAATGTAACACATGTAAATAAACAATAAATTCTTAGCTTATCATCTAAATTACTGTTGACGACTGAATTTATTATATATACATAAGCCTAACGCTATAACTGTATTCATTCACAAAGTGAATAAATTTATATGCTATTTCTTCAAGCTAAATGATGTGTGGAAACGTTTTGACATTTGCTTCTTTTATAGGCAATCCGGAAAGGTTATTGGCTATAAAGTCTACATGGTTCTCTAAGTCAAGATTTCCTATAAAATTGACTCTTGTATTCTGAATATTTGAGCGTTCGCTACAAATTTTCAATAAATATTGAAATGGAATTTGTATTGAGTCAAAATAAGTATAGATTGATGAGCATCCCGTAGTCAGCTATGGCCGTTCAGCCAGATTCACACTTGTTAAAAATTCAATTTAATTTTTTGCCTGATAACCAGAGTCTCGTGTTTTCTTAATGCAGATAAGAAATTCAAACAGACGAGAATCAAGTGTAGAAACAACGGAAATAGGTTTAAACATCTTTTAAATTAAAAAATAAAAATATATTAAAATTGAGCACGGTGCTTCATACTTTACAGACTTTATGACCTTAGATAGACGACACGAGACGAATTTAAATTGCGAACAAATTTCTAAATCCGGGTATGAAGCTAGACAAATGAGGCAATATATTATAGGCTATAAGAAATTTAGATCTAGTAAATTAATAGAAACGCAGTTAGAGTTCAGATTTATTTAGAGTTAAGATTTATTTACTTTGGTCCAGGAATAGATACAATTTCGCAATATATATTTAATATATGTATAAGTACATAGAGATAAGTACATTTGTCTAGAAATTCGATATAGTGTTAAGTCGTAAATAATTAAGTAAGTACTACGTTTATCGTATACATACAGACATACAGAGTTGCAGATACATATACATAGAGAGTAGAAATAATACATTGTCGTAGTGGGCACAGGGTTGCAGTAGCGCACACTATCAACTTCTCCTTTTCTCCCTCTTCAATCCCTAAATGGAATATTGGGTAGAACAACAGCAAACCTACCCCCTAGTGACACTACTGAGCCCTGCTAAATGCCTAAGAAATAAGAATTTTTTATGTGCTGTTTATTCTTTTTTTTTTTTTTTTTTTGGCATGCACATGAGATTTCAAAAAAATAATACTTTGTCTTTTATAGGAAAATATAGCTGTGAATACATCAGCTAGAAGATTAACGACCCACGACAAGCTTGGCCTTAGCTAATTTAGCATAAATTAATTTTTGAGGAATCTCAAAAAAAAAAAGCTCACGTAGTGCATTCAAAATGAAGTCTAGTCTAACCGAAGCCACAGCTAAGTTTAAAATATTCTTTTTTTCGAGCTCAAAGATCTTATGATTTAGTACCCTTGTAGTGGCGATGCTATGAATATTGTTATGGAACGTGGAAGACCTATAGATGTCTAATAAATAGCTTTATACTTGTCTGTTTTCAAGCAAAAGAGTCAAAGTCTTTGTCTTTCTGGAGCATAGGAGTTGAATATGAGAAAATCGGACAACTAAATGATATAACTGTCAAACTTTATTAGTCTATGGGAAATTCGGACAAAAAGCTTGGTATTTTAGAGAATATCTATCAATATCAATATCTATATCTAATCAATATGGAACTATTATCAAGGAAGAATATCAGGTTCTATATAGAAGATTTCTAACATAGGCACATCATGCAACTGACTTTTCGTATGAAATTTTGAACTTTTATCCTTAGATCTCTTTAGGTACTTCTCAAAACTTACATCCGTATGGATATTGTCTACAAGGGAATTTTATATTCGGCATGTACCGAAGTCTACGGCTACTTGATTTGCTCAGTACTTGTGCCCGTTGCCATTGAGCATGGCCGCATTTAGGGGTTGTGCTTCCAATGTCTCCCGCAGCTCCTTGCCCGTTTCCAAGTAAGCATCAGTTGGCTCCTTCTTACCGAATCGCTCGCCATCCGCGATCGTCTCCAGCGTCGGCTTGTTGTGCGTCTCCGGCAGCATCAGCGACATGAAGCCGGCGGCCAGCGAGAGGGCGCCATAGATGACCAGGGGAAGCGGTGGCCAAATTGTGGCCAGGGCATTCAGATAGGGCGCCAGCATGCCAGTCAGCCGGGAGACCATGGAGGCGGCGCCCATGCCCACCGTGCGCACCACCGTGGGGAATTGCTCGCTGGAGAAGAGATAGATGGTGCCGTAGGAGCCCGTGATGGCCAGCTTGCCCACCATGGCGCACGTGACGATGAGCCAGTGCATATGCTGGGGCACGATGATGGTCATCAGCAGGCTGACGCCGGCGACCAGCATGCAGCCGCAGAGTATGGAGCGACGGCCCCATCTGTTCAGGGTCAACAGCAGGAAGCAGTAGGCGGGTATCTCCACGGCGCCAGAGATTAAAAAGTTGAGCAGGACATTGCCGCCCAGATTGTTGGTGCTCCAGGAGAGGCCGTAGTAGACACCAGTGCAGACCAGCCAGTCGAAGAAGATGACGAGCGTCTTGCGGCGCAAATTGGGATAGTGGAGCAGATCCCACACCGAGGGCGGCCTAGCCGTCTCCTCCTTCACCTCCTGCTTGCAGCTGACGCCCTCGTCCAGCAGAGCGACCAAAGTCTCCTTCGTGATGTTCACCCGATTGAAGTGTGCCGCCTTTTGTATGATCTGCATGGCCTCCTCGTTGCGGCCCTTGGACAGCAGCCAGCGCACGGACTCCGGTATGATCCAATGGTAGCACATGAACACCAGCCCGGGCAGGGTCAGGCCGATCTGCAGCCAGCGCCAGTCGTGGATGAAGTAGGCGAAGACCGCCGTCAGCATGTAGCCCATGGAGAAGAACATCATCACAAAGATGCCGGCGTATAGGCGCTTGGTGGGACCCACCATTTCCATGGCGATGACGTAGGCCACCAGGAAGACACCGGATGTGGTGCTACCCACAATGAGGCGGGCCAGCGTATAGGTGAAGTATTCGGGCGCTAGGGCTGCCACCACGCCAAAGATTACCTGGATGACCAGCGAGGCAAAGAAGATGGGCTTCCGACCGTGCTTGTCGCTCAGCTGCCCGAAGATGATGCTGCCCAGCAGCACGCCCAGCATGAACATGGAATCGCTACTAGCCGCAAGAAAGCCACGTCCGCACACCAAGTTGAACTCGGTGACGGCGCTATTCAGGTATTTGCTCTGATCGTAGATGTAGCGAGTGCAGCTCTGGCTGGTGTTGCTCAGCCGATGGTAGCTGCCATTGGTGTAGGCCACCTCGTAGTAGGCGCAGCTGTCCTTTTCAGGGTAAGCGAGCTGCTGCAGCTGCGCCGGCAGCTCGTAACTGGCCCCATCCACATCCGTGGGCAGCGCGCACCGGAACTCCGGCTTGGCGAGCAGAAAAACCCCGGCGAGCTTGTGAAATGCCACCGGTATGGAGGTCAGACAGATGAGCACATAGATGATCTTCTGGTAGCGGCCAAAGTCGCCCAGCTGAACGATAACCTCATCGTAGCCCATTATTCCGTTGTCCRATTCTCGACTCTCGACTCTCGACACTCGACTGGCCTCTAGCGCAGTTCGTCAATCACTAAAAGGTTTCGCTACTCTCCGCTCAGCTGCTCTGCTGTTCGGTTTCTCTGCTTTCTTCTTCGGATTCCCGCTCGCCAATTAACGCTTGTGCCAGCTGTGACGGTGACGTGTACTTTGTACCCCGCCGGAGGCGGACGTAATTAAGAGAGAGAGAGGGAGAGGCCGCTAGAGAGAGAGGGCAAGTGTAATTGTCTCATTGGCAGCAACACGTGTTGCCCAAAAATTTAGCAAGAACTGCCGATTCTGAGCGAGTTTTCGGCACACGAAATGCTGGCAAAATGTTGCAATTCTCAGAAGAATCGTGCGACAACAAAAAAATTAATTATATTTTTGTTGCTGCTTTTTTTTTTTTTTTGTTTTCTGTTAGGTTTTGACCCGCATGCGGCAAATGCGTCACGTTTGCCCGCTGAACTAAGCTGCGCGATTGAAGGCCGACGAAAGACTAAAAGCTTTATTGCCGACGATACAACACGATATACTTGGCCCATATACTGGCCCACAGCCGAATGGCCGCGTATCCATCATGCAAAGCGCCCGAAGATATGACACGAAAACCGACGCGTCGCATGCCCAGCAAGCGAGAGCGAGACGGCAATAGTGGGAGAGAGCGCAAAAAGAATTGCGCTCTGTTTGCATCGCAGAAATTTATCCAGCCATTAGAAGAGAGTGGTAGGGAAGGTGAGGGCAGAGGGCAGAAGGAACACGCGAATGATTGGAAGAGCGGGTGCAGAGGAGAGAGCGAAGCCGGCAACAACAAACTTAGCTACCCTATAAGCATGATTACTATTAATGCAAGAGGGGTTTCCAACCAGCTTACGCATTAAGGTATGACGCATCACGCGCATAATCACATGTTCACATTTTAGACACACACACACACATACGCATAAGCATATACATATACGTATGTACATATACTATGTATATATAACTTACTCAAATACTTTAGATAATGTACACATTCACGTATGTATGTACGTAGCTGTATTTAGACAGTCTGCTCCATTGAACTGTAAAAATAGCAAAATTGCTTCTAAAATTCAACAACAATATTTGCATAATGCCTTATGAGCGATGCGGATAGATGGAAGATGTCATCAATTCAGCAGCTCTATCAGAAATATGTGTTGTATGTGTCCCAATCCTAAGTTGTGTGTATAAATATGCTATCGAATATCAATGCAGTCAAGTCTCAAATAAACAATTTCTGATATCTATCCTGTAGTCTGAATGGTCGTATCGTCCATATGCGTGAATACATACCTACGCTATGTAGCTAGAGCTCGAAGACATTTTTTTGCTGTGAATCGAAGTTCAATTTGCAAAAACAATTCGATACTGAATATAAAATGTATTTAAAAATGCAACAAAAAGAAATTTAAAATTCAATAACTATCTGATATATCAGGGTATCATACAGTCGATCAACTGAAGTAAGTAACTTTCTGCTCGAGCCACTCTCAGACATTCGCTCAAATAAATAATGCTAAATGGTCTCGAGTTGCCGCAGGTTTTCACTTACGCCGAGGTTCATTTAACTCTATGCTTCAATTGGAATTTGTCAACGGCAATTATTGTTTTTTATGGGAAATCAATTGAGTCGAAATGTCTGAAGAATCACGCTGTATAGCTGTACCAGCCGAGTATCGAACGATACGGTCGCCATTGGAGCCAAACAGACTCAATTAGATCCAATTAGAGATCCAATTCGCAGACGAATCGCATGGAGCCGAAGACAAAGGAAGACGAACATAAACAGGTTAGGATGAACCAGAAAATGCTGGAACTCCAATTGGAGTTTTTGAGTGAAAACACAAAGAAGATGAAATGCTTTATGGAAAATAATGTTGCTCTTGCCATAACATCTCTTCTTCATGTTTCTTCTTCTCTCTACAGCTAATTAAGCACTGAGATCGGATGATCAAGAGCATCCGCCAAGTCAATTGAGACTCTCAATTTGAGAGCAACATTGCAAAACTATCTTAAATTCATCAATTGCTCATGCGTCCCGATTTCGACATAAACAACATGAATTTGATAATCCCCATGGTCAAATCGCTGGACAAACTGGAATCTTGTGTAGTTCAGTTAATGCAGATTTGGTCAGAATACATTTTTAAGCAAAAAAAAACTGTCGTTGCCTCATAAAATGTTGCAACACACAGAAAAACTGGTTAGAAATACGCTCAGTTTTCATTGCAGACTTTGAGGCTTTGTGATTATTTCACTCGTTACGACCAATAAATGTCAAACTGTATAGACATTTTTACCGCTTGCATTTTAATATATGTACGTATTCTTATCAAATAGATATAAATGCAGTCTAATCTAATCTTCTGATAGATTAGTCAGTTTTAATGATTTCAAACTTCTATATATTGCTTAAAGTACCGTAGATCAAGCATATTTATATTTCTACACACGGTCAAATGTCTCAACTATTATGGCAACTATTATTACGCATGCTTATGCGTCATGTAGCCAATCAGTTCGATATGCAGCAACATGCTAGCCAAAGCTGAATGCTGCGCAACGTTTTCATACATTTTACAGCACTGCTTTTCAAATACAAAATATATTATCGGCTCTATCGATTTGCATGCCATTTTGAGTTGCGCTTCGATAACGATATGTCGAATTGGACATCGCGGGCAGTCGTAAGATAAACATCGAACGCTGCGGTTGGTGCGGCGCACTTGGCGCAATTATACACGAGATCACATGAAATTTTAGTTAATAAACAACACACTCTATTGAAATACGTCAACAAAAAATTGTGTTCGATGGCATTTTTGCCTTCTGCAGCACATTAAACTGCTAACGGACAACATAAATTAACGAAAGCCCTAAAACGCAATTCGGCGCGTTCTTTGGCTCGTGTTTTAATCAAAATTTTTAATTCGTAAACATTGGATTCTGTATTTTGCCAAAACGGAAAGCAAGCGAAACACAACGAGCGACCCTGATTACAAACAAATATCATAAAACACCGGCAAAACACTCCACAGCCGCGCAGCAGCAGCGGAAGCACCAATACAAACAGCAACAGGTAAGCGCAACGGATTAGAGCAACAACAAAAAAGCACAACAACAAACACGATGACAACTCGCATTTGCCCTTTCGGCCAAGCTGAAAAATTTGAGAGCGTTTTATCCGCTTCGTTTCTGTTCGTATATGTTGTGAATGGTTCTTATACCCTTTATACAAATTAAAAATGGGTATAATTAACTGAATGCTACATATCAATAGGCATATGAATGTATATTTATAATATAAATGCGAAGTGTGTACCACTTATAGATATACCACTTCACTCTAAATGTTGTTCAATTTGACTCTTCAAGCTCGTATTTTATTTAGTGCTCATATTTCGCAGATTAGAAAAAGACATAAAAGTGTTGACTTAGGTCAAGAATTCTACGCTATGTGTAGATGAAAAAAAATATATATACATATATCTCAAACTATAAAAAGGCTATCTGCTGGTCGAGCAATCTCACCTAAGTAAACCGCGAACCGTATTATTTTGCTGCTGCTGCATAAAACGTGACCCTGAATCGATTGGAAAATTGGAAAAGAGGGCGCAGTCGCGACATCCTCGTGGGGGTGAAACAACAGCGAATGTCAACAACAAGCAAAGGCACCACCAAAAGCAGCAGCTGTCTCACCCGCGCACACATGCACACATGCATAGATACATATGCTATATATAGACTGTAAAGTCAAAAGGCAAAGCAGAAGGCTGGAAACTGGAATTATAGATGTGTATGTGTGTGTTTCGACACGGGCGCAGGCGACGCGTATGAAAACATAAAAATCATTGGCCCAGGGCCATTTTAATTGCTTGCGGAAACGAGAGTTACCAGCGCCCAAGGCTGGAAGGAGCAATGTTCACTGGTATGCGTTTGCTTATTCCAGGCACATTTTGCAATTTAATTGTATTCTTTGGAAATAATCTCTAACGACGTGACTAGCTCCTCGCGCTTGCGCGTGTCCATATAAACGAACACAAAGCAGGCGCAACTCTTGTAAAACTCTCTCATTCTTGCACTCCTTTGCTCTCTTCACGCATATATGTACGTGCAGTACACAGATACGTTTGATGCGCAATACACACACACTTTGTACTCATGAGAGAAGTACGCGCTAGTTTGATTTGTTCTAGACACGAGCAGCTAAAACACGGTACAAACACGACTTGTTTAAATATTTTATAATTATAGTTACTTAGCGAGTTAGCTAATTATTAAAACAATAATAATAATAATTAGCACAATATTTCAACTTTTAATTTTTATTGCTCTGATAGAAATTTAACAAAATAAAATTTTTTTAAATTCATGTTTACAGTCTGCCTTCAAATGCAAACCAATTTTTAACGTTTACTCAAATCCATAAAACAAAAATGTTTTGTTCTGTAAAGGTTGTTTGTCTTACTTCGTGCTACGATAGGTAAACACGACACACGCCCAACTCTAAAAGAGAACCCTCACACACACAAATACATATGTATATATATATACATAAAGTTTTTTGCATATATTTTGGACAGCTTTGGGTATAAACACATTCGCAAAGCGTGCATTTTTAAAAGCCAATTAACGGGTTTAGCAGTACAGCAAAAGCAATTTTTGCATATACATATATATTTATATATTTATATGTATATTAGCGTTGTTTTCTTTTTTTGGTTTCGTATCTGGCAATCCAGTTGATTCTTGTAGCTGTGTGACGCACGCGTCACAGCGCTGACACAGCGAACTCGTTACTGAAATGCGATCGTCAATTGTCGAGATACATAGATCCTTTAGGTTTAGGCTCGACAGCTGCCCGAGGAACTTCCGCTGGCCGAAAATAGCTGCTGGTCAGACAACAATGGGGTCTTAGATCCGTGAGAGATGCTCGTTAGCCGAATACTCAGCGCTCCGCCCCACTCAAGACCATTTAGAGTGCTTGAACTTGTGTGAATTTGCATATAATAAAAGTGAAACATCTGTGGGCCACAGTGAAAGTTAGTAGATTAATTGGCCCCTTTGTTTCCTAGACTCTTAGATTAGCATATTACCCAGATATATGTACATATGTACATACATGCACATACCTATTTATGTATGTATGTACATATATATTTCTGTCTGTGTATTTTCTTGCTCGTGCTT